AAAAAAAAAAAAAGGAACAAGGGGTTTCTCCATATGATTTAGTGAAGACCCAAATCCGGAATAAAGTTAACATTATTTTCCAAATTCTGTAAAAAAAAAAAAAAAAAAAAGGAAGCAGAGCGAGGAGGAACTGTGGTGTCCACCCTCAGCGCCCGCCAGCATTCCTTCTCGGCCCCTTCTGGCTGTTGCTCCAATGGCCAAAGCAAGCCTCGGGCAAAGAGGCAGCTGGACGCGGACAGGGAGCCCTGCACGCTGAGGCTGCGGGTGCAGTGGACACGGGCAGTGTCTGCTGTGATGCTCAGGAAATCAGGCGTCTCCATCAGCACTGCCTGGAGAGAAACAGAGTCCTGGGCTAGTTCTCAATATTCCTAGTTGGTAGAGTGAAGCTGGGCCCTGGGAATATGTAGTTCAAAGTAGCAGGCGTTCCTGCTGCATGGCTCAGTGCCAGGCACTCTGAGAGCCGCTGAAAATAGAGCTGTTAGGAGGAAAACAGTTCCTGCTCTACAGTCCTTACAAATAAATAGATGATCCCAGCATGAAGGAGGCTGAGGCAGGAGGATTGCCACAAGTTGGAGGCTAGCCTGGGCTACATAGTAAATTGAAGGCCCCTCTGAACTACACAATTAGACCCTGCCTTTAAAAATAAAAAAAAAAAAAACCCAATCAATCAATCAGTCAATAAACAAACAGTGAGGAGTTTGAAAAGTCAGCAGGCTTTTTATGTGTGACTGATCTCAAAGCCGTGAATATAGAAAGTGTCACTCAACTCTGCACACAACAGAAATGGTCCCTGAGCAGATGGGGGCGTCCTCACTGGCCTCTGGCCACCTCCCATGAAGCAAGGCCAGTGGGCTCCGTTCCCACGGGGAGGTGTCCACCCTGGTCCCTGGGTTTCAGGTGACCATCACCCTATATGGCCTGGACGGAGAGAGCGAGCCACACCGCCTGGCAGACCCCGCGTCCCCTGGGTTGGAGCGCGGAGGAGTGGACGTCTTCCTGCTGTCCACCCTGTTCCCCCTGGGGGAGCTGCGGAGTCTCCGGCTGTGGCACGACAACTCGGGGGACCGGCCGTCCTGGTGAGTGGGCAGGGGGATACTCAGGCTGGGGCGAGGCCCCTGCTCCGGGCATGACGGATCCCCATTTCACAGATGAGGAAACCAAGGTCCAAGAGGCCCTGGGCCTGCTCCACACCGCCCGTCAGTAGCTGGGAGGAGGTGAAGGGCGCAGGCTTGGTGTCCACCCTCAGCAGCATGGACCTGAGACTTGCCCAAGGTCACACAGCTAATCCAGAGCAAAGTCCTCCCTGAGGCTGACGCTAGTGGCCTGGGCAGGAGGAGCCAGTCCGAGCAGCAATCAGCAGCCGACGGCGTTCATACCGCTGTCTGTCATGCACTGAGGGGCTAAACATCCGTACTCCGAGGGCCTCAGCTATTGGTTGGCTCCTGGGAAGCACAGGCTGAGATGGATGTGAGAGAGCAGAGAGCCTGTGAAGCGGGTGCAGGGAGAACAGCGGGGTGGGAGGCCGGGGGATGGGCAGAGGGAGACAGAGAGCTGTGTGCGATGCACGCTGGTGTCAGTCCAGCCCCTCCCTAATCCCCAAGTTCTGGAGCCGCCTCCCATTGGATCTAGATGCCCAGGTCCTGCCAGGTGTGCTGTACGTCCAGCACTCAGGAGGCTGAGGCAGGAAGATCACTGCAAGTCTGAGGCCAGCCTGAATTACATAGTAAGACCCTTCTCAAAACACCAAAACCTAAAACAGGTGAGCCACCGCTGGGTCCGATCTCATATGCCAAGCACGGCGACTTCACACCCTCCCCAGGCCTTGGAGACCTGACTCAGGTTATGGGACACCCAGAGTCCCTGAGCCCCACAGAGAGGGTGGCCTTGCAGTCTAGGTGGTCTGCAACATCACCAGTCCTCTGTGTGCCTGCCCGCACACAAGCTCTTCCCGTGCTGGCTTTGCCCGCTCAGGGCCCCGCTGCCCCAGCTGGGGGCCCCAGGCAGATAGGGGCTCACAGCTCCCAGGGGCGCTGCCTGAGCCCCCCCCCCCCATGGAGCTCCAGCTCTGACCAAGGCAAGGGACAAGGAAGGGACACGCAGTGTCTGCAGGTCCCCCTTTCTAGAGGTTCAGGTTTGTAAAGGTGTCCAAGGAAGGCTCACCCCCGCACCTGGGCCTCAGCACGCTGGGTCCTTTCTCCAGGTACGTGAGCCGGGTGCTGGTCCACGACCTGGCGACTGGCCAGAAGTGGTATTTCCTCTGCAACTCATGGCTGTCCATCGATGTGGGAGACTGTGTCCTGGACAAGGTGTTTCCGGTGGCCACGGAGCAGGACAGGAAGCAGTTCAGGTACTTCTTAAGCGAATCTTTATTTCGCTTTTTTTTTTGAGACCGTCTCACTATGGAGTCCAGGCTGGCCTTGAACTCACGGCGATCCTCCTACCTCAGCCTCCTGCGTGCTGGGATTACAGGCGTGGACCACCACGCCCAGCCTCTTCCTGTCTCCTGAATTCCTGTCCCTCTTCCCTGCCCCCCACAGCCACCTGTTCTTCCTGAAGACGTCCACAGGCTTCCAGGAAGGCCACCTCTGGTACTCCATCTTCAGCAGCTCTGCCCGGAGCCGCTTCACGCGGGTGCAGAGGGTGTCCTGCTGCTTCTCCCTGCTTCTCTGCACCATGCTGACCAGCATCATGTTCTGGGGGGTCCCCAAGGACCCGGCTGAGCAGAAGATGGACTTGGGTAAGTCCTGCTGTCTGTCGTCCTGGACAGGGCTGTGGCCGGGGACATCAGTGTTGCCTGCCCAGGGACGCCACTGCAGCCCCAGTTCTCTTGGGGGCTGCCCGAGGTCACCATAGCCGAGCCTCTGCGTGGCTGTCCTTGACCTCCAGCCCCTCCGGAGGTCACGCGGATGCCTCGTGGCCTGGGCCACCTTGTCACACTGTTAGCACAGACTACCTGGTGTGTCCAGGTCCCTGGTAAAGGAAGACACCTCAAGCAGGCGCTGTAGCCAGGGCTTAGCGGGGACCTCCCGCGGCTGCATCTGCTGGTCCTTTGTGTGCGGCCGCCTGCTGGCAGGGTGCTGCGGACAGGGCTGTGGTAACCGCCTCTCCTTGACCCTCCTGCTCCTCCCCAGGGGACATCGAGTTCACGTGGCAGGAAGTGGTGATCGGGCTGGAGAGCTCCCTGCTCATGTTCCCCATCAATTTCCTGATCGTCCAGATCTTCCGCCACGCCCGGCCTCGGGGCGCGAAGGAGCAGGAGGCTGGGACCCCCACCCTAGCCCCGTCACCACAGCCCCTGGACGATGGCCTTGTGACGCCTGAAGCGGTGACCAAGGCAGGTCCCTAACTTCAGCCCAGCGGGAGTGGTGCTTTTCTTCTTTCTCTCCACCCTCCCCTGCCCCACCCCCGTCCCTCTGTCTCTGTCTCTCTCTCAACTGTTTTTTCCCCAGTCCTGGGGATTGAACCCAGAGCCTTCTCACTGAGCTATATCACCAGATCTTAGTATTTTTTATTTTGAGGAGGGGTCTTGCTACATGGCTAAATTGCCTAGGCTGGGCCTAAATTTTTGATCCTCCTGTCTCAGCCCTCCAGAATCCCGGGGTCATAGGTGTGTACCCATCATACCCTTGCTCTCCTTTCTCTTGCAGGCTGGGGATCAAACCCTAACCTCACACATGCTAGGCAAGTGCTACACCACTGGGCTACACCCCCAGCCCTTTCTTCTTCTTCTTTTCTTTCTTCCTTTTTCTTTCTTTCTTTCTTTCTTTCTTTCTTTCTTTCTTTCTTTCTTTCTTTCTTTCTCTTTCTTTCTTTCTTTTTCTTTCTTTCTTTTTCTTTCTTTCTTTCTTTTTCTTTCTTTCTTCCTTTCTTTCTTCCATTTTCTTTCTTTCTTTCTTTCTCTTTTCTTTCTTCCTTCTTTCCTGTTTCTCTTTCTTCCCTTCTTTCCTTCTATCTTTCCCTCCCTTCATACCTCCCTCTTTCCTCCTTCCTTTGTTTTGAAGGGTCTTCCTGAATGGCCTTGGCTGGCTTTGAATTTGCGATCCGCCCAAGTAGCCGAGGTCACAGGTGTGCACGCACCACCCTCCCAGGTACCCCCAGCTTTCCCCGTGCGTTCACCGTGCGCCCGCCCTGCGGAGCACACCTGCACCGGGAGATCTCAGCAGGGACGGCACGGGCACTCAGGGAGGTCAAGGCCACATCTCCGTGGACAGAACTGAGGCAGACGCTTGTGACCCCGGGCCGCACCCCCTGCCTGCAGCTCACCTCCCGTCTCTGTCTGGTCTCCCTGCAGGACACGCGGCGACTCATCAGCTGTCTGTGCAGAGCCCTGAAGCTGCCCTCGCCGGCCTCGGGCTGGGACTCTCTGAGCTCGGTGGACATCAACACACTGCTGGCCTTGGCGGAAGACATCCTCTGCCCTCAGAACCCAGCCGGGCAGGGACGCCGGGAGGAAGCCAAGGGGAGAGAGGACGCCTTTGCCGTGGCCCCCGGGTCTGCGCCAGTGACAGGTACACACTGGCCACCCCTGTGCCAACGGAAGCAGCTTCCGGGGCCAGGTGGCGACTCGGGGCCGTGTCTGTGGCCTGGTGGGTCGGGCTCCGGCTGAGCCTCCCAGTCTGCACCACGCCACCCGCCGTCCCATGATGCCACGCTGCACACGAGCTACTCTAGACTCCGCTTTCCCCTTTCTCTGCCTCAGCCTTTACTCCCCTGGGGCGTGGGCCTCTGTCAGTGCCTTCTGTCCCCGTGCCTCTCCTCACACTCACCTGCACCTGGCCGCACAGTGAACCGTGGGACGCGGTGTTTAAAGTCTGCGCCATCCTGAGTCCCCGAGGTGGGCGTCCTCTTGCCTCCCCTCGTCTCTGTGACGGGCTCCTCTGTGACCTTGGACAGGCTGCCTCGGTTCTCTGAGCCTCGATTTTCTTCCTGTGAAGTGTCAGGGGCTGCAGCGTTAAGCAGGATCTGTTTCCGGATGTGTGGGGCAGGACCCAAGATGCAGGGTGATGAGGCAGAGGAAAGACGTGAATCACAGGCCGAAAACCTTTTCTCTGTTCCCTTTCAAGTCTCCTAATTAAACACGGGTGTGGTGGTGCACATGCAAGCCTGTCATCCCAGCACTGGTGGTGGCTGAGGCAGGACAATCATCATGAGTTTAAGGCCAGCCTGAACTGCACAGCAAAACCCTTCCTCAAAAAAAAAAAAAACAAAAAACAAAAAAAAACACAACAAAGCCAGTTGGCCATGCATGGTGGCACACGCCTGTAATCTCAGCACTCTGGAAGCTGAGGCAGGAGGATCATTTGGAGTTCGAGACCAGCCTGGGCTACAAAGTGAGCTCAAGGCCAGCCTGAACTGCATAGCGAGACTCTGTCTCAAAAAGACAAAAAAAAAAAAAAAAGCCAAGCCAGTAGCACCCCGGGCTGGTGACCAAACCTTCAACCCTTTGGGGACATTTTAGGTCCAAACTATGGTGCTCTGCAGACTCAGCTGCCAGTGTTAGAGCAGCGCCGCTCCATGGGGCCTCCCGCTGATGGACACCCTGTAGCCCCGCGCTTGGTGGGCTGGGTTTAAAGCGCTGCCAGTGATACGGCTCCGGACTGGCCAGTGTCTGGAGCAAGCAGGTGGTCGGGGCCTCCGGTGACGGCCACCCCGGCAGTGCTCTGCTCCATGGTCTGTGCCATTCCCCAAGAGACGGCTCCAGACTCGAGAATACAGCCAGACTCCTGGGGTCTCCTGGCTGCAGCTGCAGCTGCGCAACTTGGGAAAAGTTGCTCACCCTCTCTGAGACTCAGTTTTCTTGTCTATAAAATATGGCCGTTGGGCCGCCTCAAGTGGGGTGCTGCGAGGACTGGCTGAGGTCATACGCTGTGTAAAGTACTCAGGCCCTGGCCCGATGCAAAGCAAGCATTCAGTCGGCGGCACTTGGGTTGGCAGAGTTGGTGTCTTCTGAGACCTTCTCAGAAGCTTGCGACACAGAGGGTGTCGGCGCTGGGTTCTGCCTGAGGCTCGGGCGAGGGGGCCCTGGTGGAGGAGGCGAAGGAGGAGGCTGAGTCAGGCTGGGCGGATCTTGCCGTGTGCTCACCTCTCTCAACAGGGCTACCTACACACACACACACACACACACACACACACACACACACACACGAGCGCGCAGCCACCCCTGCACACGAGGCTCCTTTCTGTGTCTCTTGCTGGGGTCTGGCGGGGCATGGACAGGGCTCCGTTTGGCCACGCCCTGTGTCCGGTCACACACAGCCCGGGGAAGGTGAGCACGGGTTGGGGCCCAGCCCTGTCTGCTGTGGACGGCGTGACCCTCCCTGGGCGCCGACACATGGCCGCATTCTCTTAGAAGGCACAAGCAATAGTGGAAAGGTTCAAATTTTTCCCTTTATACTAAAGATGAGTTACCTCTACAATTTTTAAACAAAGCAACAAAAACCTGGCTTTAGAGACTGAGGTAGGAGGATTGCAAATTCAAAGACACCCTGGGCTCACCAGGACTATCTGGTCCGGACTACATAACGAGACAGTGCCCATCCCCAAAAAAATGTTTTTAAAAATTTTTTTAAAACTGGGATGGTGGGTGCACAACTGTAATCCCAGCACTCAGGAGGCTGAGACAGGAGGATCGCCTCGAGTTTGAGGCCACCCTGGGCTGCATAGTGAGCTCAAGCCCAGCCTGGACTATATAGTGAGGCTCTGTCTTAAAAAACCAAACATATATTTTTTTTCCCAGGGAGGAAGAAAGATGAGGTAAGGTTGTCTGGAAGTTAGTCATCACGGCAGTGGGGTAATAGAGAAGATAGTCTCCTCTCCTTACGTATAAGGACATTTGGCAAATGCCCCTGACAAAAGGCTGGAAGGAAACATGCAAATCCCAGTGGCTCTGGGACCCTAGAACCCCAGTCCCTCTGCACTCGGGTTTCCTGCGGCTGGCACTGGGCTGGGCGCTCCTGCGTGACTGCTGTCCCCGTCACTGTGACAGGCACGCTGCCCCTCAGCACCGGCTGATCACTCTCCCCTTGTCCCCAGAGAGGACACAGGGCCCCGGGCCCGAGCTGGCCCTGCAGGACCTCTGGAAGGACGACGCCCACAGGCAGTGCCTCTACCGCCAGCTGGAGCACTTGGAGCAGGAGCTGCAGCTGCTAGGACCCCACAGCTTCCCGCAGCGACACGGCCACGCCAGGGCGCTCAGGCAGCTGCAGACCCTGAAAGGCCACCTGGGAGTGGCCACCCCCACACATGCCAGGTAATGCCCTCCCCACCCCACGGGCACCTGCCCTGTCTGGGGCCTGCCAGAAGACGTCTTGAGCTGCCCTAGCAGGGCACCGTAGACTCTCAGCAGAAAGGATTAAGGCTCCTGCCAGCACTCAGGATGGGGGTGGTGATCAGGGATCCCAGCTGGAAGACACAGCCCTTTGCAGATTGCTTTACAATTTGTACATTTTTTTGGACAGGGTCTCGCTATGAAGTCAGGCTGGCCTTGAACTCACTGTGTGGCGCAGGCTGGCCTGAACCCACAATGACCCTCCCGCCTCACCCTCCCGAGCGCCAGGACTACATGCCTGCACGGTGACCATGCCTGCCCACAATCTGTACAGTTTGTAACCGTTCTCGTGGGGGCTGTCTCCTTACCGTGTATCCTCAGATCCGCCCCTCATCCTGAGTCTCTGTCATTCCTCTGTTGGGTGGGAATGATGACGCTCTCCGCTGATAAAGCGATGTGCTTCAGACAAGCAGTGGGATTTAAACTCAGGGTTATCAGACGGCACAAAAGAATCATCAGTTTGGCTGGGCATGGTGGCGCACGTCTGTAATCCCAGCACTCGGGAGGCTGAGGCAGGAGGATCGTTGCAAATTCGAGACCAACCTGGGCTACAAAATAAGCTCAAGGCCAGCCTGAACTGCATAGTGAGACCCTGTCTCAAAAAGACAAAAAAAAACAAAACAAAACAAGAGTCATCAGGTAGATGTGGCCAAGGCATAGTAATTCAGGAAGAAAATGACCATTTGTGAGATGCACCGTGACGTACTTGGAGATGATTGTGTCTGGAATTTATTTTTAAATATTCCAGCTCCCTGCCCCTCCAGGAAAAGGCAGGAGGGCAGGTGGGTGGAAGAGCCACAGCAAAGCGGTGACCGCTGTTGACCTCACTGGATGAATGCCTGTGGGTTTGCCGTGCTTGATCGTTTTTCTGTGAGATTTTTTATGTCTCTTTTTTTTTTGAGACAGAATTTCCAAGTTGTTAAGTTGCCCAGGCTGGGGTCAAGCTTGCACTCCCGCCTCAGGCTCCCAGAGTGCTGGGACTCCAGGCTTGCACCATGACGCCTGGCCTGTAATAACTTTTTTTAACCCGGGGTTCAACCTTGTGCTTGACTCAAGCTAAGCGAGCGCTCTACCACACAGCTACGCCCTCAGCCTGGTGGTTTAGAAATGTTCCAGAAGCAGCTTCTGGGTTTGAGGTGAGGAACCGTGGAGCAAATGTGAGAAAAGCATTTAAGACAGCAGGGACAGGTGACAGAGGAGGCCCTGAGAGGCCAGGCGCTCGGCCAAGGCCATGCCAATGACCCGCCCTTGTCACCCCTGCAGGGCTCCCCGCCCCGGCGCGCCCCCTCGAGGCCTGCCCTGGTGGTGCACCCTGGTGGGCTGGCTCCTGGTGGCAGCCACCAGCGGCACGGCTGCCTTCTTCACCATGCTCTACGGCCTGCACTACGGGCGCGCCAGCTCCCTCCGGTGGCTGCTGTCCATGGCCGTGTCCTTGGCGGAGAGCATGCTGGTCACCCAGCCCCTCAAGGTCAGGATGCCCACCGAGTGGCTGCCCTCCCCACCCCCATCCTCCCGAGCGGTGTGGTCTTAAGGGAGGCTCCCGTGCACAAGCCCTGGGGCAGAGAAGACAGTGAGGTAGATAATTACGGGCCCGGGGGACCAGGCAGACACGGAGAGGGAGGACCGCAGGCAGAGGGGCGGGGAAGCCAGCAGGCGGGCAAGTGGGGGTGTCCCAGGACACAGGCCCCCTGCCTGGCTGGGCCCGGCGCTCCTCAGCGGCTCTGCCCACTGCACCAAGGCTGGGTTCCCAACTCGCTTAGGTGTGGCTGCACTCCATGCCCTCCGACCCGGTTTCACGTCCTGGTACGGCTTGGGCTCACACTGGCGGTGACGTGCAGGTGTTGGGCTTCGCCGCTTTCTTTGCACTGGTCTCGAAGAGGGTGGACGATGATGATGACGACGACGAGATGGAGCTCCCCCTGCCAGGACGCCTGTCTGGCCCAGGTAAAGGGGCCGCGTGGTGGTGCAGGGACAGGAGTACACCTGCAGGGCAGGGTGCTCCCCGAGCCTCTGCTCCCCGGCAGCCCTTACCCTGCCAGACACGAGCACCCCCTGCCTCTTCCCTGAGAGCCTTCCTCCCTGGCTCTCTGACCCCGGTGACGCCCCCACAGGACCCTTCAGCCAGGATAGGCGCCTCCTCTGTGTAGCCCCCATGGCGGGGTGAGGGGGCTCTCTGCCCATAGACTCAGGCCCTGGGGTTTTAGAATAACAAAGAATCCGCTTGCTGGTAGACTGCAAAGAGCGACTGTCAACTAGACCTCCAGGACAACAGAGCTGAATCGGCAGTGAGTAGCCCCGGCCTGGCCCACGGCCTGGGTCTTGTGAACAGAGACGGACTGGACAGAGGCCACGCTGACCTGGTCTAGAGGCCCCAGCCCGGCCCTTCCTCCCTCCAAGATGTGGGAACGTGCTGACAGGCAGCGCACTCAGGAAGCACAGGAGCAGACAAGACAGAAGCAGCCCTCTCAAGATCAATCTTGACTCTCAGGGAAAGTAAACCAGGAAGAAACAAGCAGATGCTCACAGGCAAACACACAGGTCCTATGGGGAGGTGACGTTAGTTAAGGAAGTAAGTGCACCCCAACTGAAAGACAAACAGAACTGGGAGGAGCAGGACACTGCAGGCCTCTGTCCTGCGGGGGCACCTAAGCTGTCCCCTGAGCGTCAGGGAAGGAAGGGACTGCTTGGCGGGGTGTGCAAAGGCCCTGAGGTCCCATGGAACTCATCACTTCATGCTGTTATTGAGCATGGGGGTAGAGTGGAGAGGGCTTGAGAAGAGGTGAGGGAGGGAGGTGACGAATGCCCTGGTAGAGCAGACAGAGGGCACGGGCCTCAGACAGCCGGGGCAGCACCTGCCAGTATGGCACGGCACCTGCAGATGCCAGCAAGCAGGAGAGCCTGTCCCACACCTGCCGCGGGGACTGCCCATTGTCCTTCCTCCGCAGGTCCCTGTGCCATCTTCCGGGCACGGAGACACAGCAGTGGGGACATCTACCAGCCACCTCTGCCCGCCGCCATCGAGAGGATGAAAGCCACCCGGCTGAAGGAGCAAAAGGCATTTGCCCTCGTCTCGGAAATCCTGGGTGGGCAGTGCCCCGCGCCCACTTCTCAGCACTCCAGACGCAGGCACCCATGAACGCACGCAGGGCCTTTGGAAGACCCTCGCTGCTTCTGGGCCTTAGTTCCCCTAGCCAGCGTCTCACTCAAGTGCTCCCCCATACTTGCAATCACCTGGCGTCCCTTGAAGGCCCTGTGCTTGAAGTCTGAGCTCCCTCCTGTGGCTCCACCCACGTCAGCTCCTTCCCCGGCCTCCCAGCCATTCCTAGCCCAGGCTGTCCTCTGTCCTCCTGCCTCAGCCTCCTGCGTGTTGGAGTAAGGGACACACACCGCCACACCCCACCTTCCGCCTAGGCTTTAACGCTCCATCCAATCACTGTGTCTTCAGCGAGGCTTCCCCTGGCCCTCCAGCCCAGAGTTTTCAAACCTCAGCGTATGTCTCGTCTGGGGTCCCGAGGAGCAGGTCGGGTGCACAAGGCTGTTTTGGGAGGTGATATCAGGAAGGGAAAGTGCAGCTGGAGGGAAGAAAGTCAGCAGAGGGGTATGGCCAGTGGGCTCAGGCCTGCTGGGGGCCGGGGAGAGCAGGCAGTGCCCCCCTGCATCATGCTGCCACCCCGTGTCTCGGGTCCCCCAGGCAGAAGTGGGTGCATCTTGGAAGGCAGATTCCCAGGCCCGGCTCAGAGCTTCCGGTTCAGTAGGAATCTGCATCCCTGATTAGGCTGTGAAGTTCAGACTCCCGATCTCAATCTTGGCCCCCTGGTGGTCCTTCGCATCACACTCTTCTGTCTCTGCAAGTCAGGTGAGCCCCACCAGGGCCAGAACTTGTCCATCTGCTTCATTACTGTACCCTCAGCAACGCCACATGGCAGATGCCCCCCTGGAAAAAATTCTGCTTAAGAAACACCAATATAAACTCAGCCTAGTGGTACATTCCTGAGCCCGCACTCTAGGAGGCTGAGGCAGGAGGATCCCCAGGTGTGAGTCCAGGCTGGGCAGTTTAATGATGGAGCATAACACTGTCTCAAAATAAAAATTTTTGCTGGGGAAATAGCTCAGCAGGCATAGCACCTGACTGGCAAGCTCGAGGTCATGAGTTCAATTCCCGGTACCAAAAAAAAAATTTTTTTTTAAAGGAGAGGGCTGGGAATGCAATGTGTAAAGGCCCCGGATCCAATTTCCAGTACCAGGGGATTGGAGACCACAAACTCTGGGCAGTCTGTGTTCTGAGTGCTTTGCAAGTACTAGTAACTCATCCCTCTTCACAACCTCATGTCTGTCATATATTATTATCCAAGCTTCACAGATGAGGGGCCGGCGAGGGGCTGACGCACTTGCAAAAGGCACCTGGATGGGAAGTGGTAGGGTTGGGATTCGAACCCAGACAGCCGGCTTGGGGTCTCTGGGAGGACCATCCCCACGCTCACCAGGCGGCCAGGGCGGGCCGCTCCACTTCCTGTGCTGGACTCGGGCAGGCGAGGCTCTCGCCTGAAGGGGGCGCTGTGCATCCTTTGCAGTGTACCTGGGCTTCCTGTGGACGCTGCTGCTGGTGGCGTACGGCCAGAGGGACCCGAGTGCCTACCACTTCCACGGGCACCTTGAGCGCAGCTTCACCAGAGGCTTTTCCGAAGTGCTGGGCTTCCCAGGGTTCTTCGAGTGGGCCAACAGCACCCTCGTGAACAACCTGTACGGTCCACACCCAGGTACACGGCCCGTGTGCGCTCCGCCCTCTGCGAGCAGGTGTGGGTCCCGAGCCGGTCTTAGCCGCGGGAGCCCAGGCTGCGAAGGAGAGGCGCTCAGAAAGCTGTGTGCACACGCAGCGTGGTGAGTGTCCTGTGAGCCGGCGGCCAGCGGCCAGCAGGAATTGGCCGGCAGAACTGGACAGGCTCTCGGACCGCAAAACATCCGCGTGGCCGCGGTGCAGGGTCTGAGTGCGGGACGGTGGGAAGCACGGGAGGAGACAGAGACGGGGCAGAGCGTGAAGGAGCTCAGAAGTCCACACCCTGCCCCTGAGGAAGGAAGTTGCCACCTGCCCGAGGGTTGCAAACCCCTGGTGGTTTGCAGGAGCCGTCTGCCTGTAGGAGGACACGCCCGCTCCAGTGAAATCAGTCAGATGCCCAGCTAAACAGCGCATACCTTCCTCCTGTGAGAAACCCAAAGCAGACATAATTTAAAAAACAAAATAAAAGGTGGATAATAGGAAACAGGGGAAAAGATCTTTTGCAAATGGGAAGGAGAGGGGCCGGGATGTAGCTCAGCGGCACAAGCACCTGCCTGGCAAGCACAAGGTCCTGAGTTCGATTCCTGGTACAAAAAAAAATGGGAAGGACATCCAGAAAGGGAAGGAGGGGGGAAGGAGGGGGGAAGGAGGGGGGAAGGAGGAGGAGAAGGGGAATAAAAGAAATTAAGATGTGCTCAGTTGGGCCAGGGATGTAGCTTACTGGCACAGCGCCTGCCTCACAAGCAGGAGGCCCTGAGTTCAATTCCCCGCACCAAAATAAAAAAGTGCCAAGTACATGTACCTGCCCCCAGAGGAGTGTAAACATCAGGCGCTGTGAGCGCATACTAAGAAGAAGTGATGTGAAAAGGGAAGGATCGCTCTGCAGGCAGCCGAGAGCGGGCCAGTTGGGAAGCTGGGGAGACATCTAGAGGCCAGCAGGAACCAGGGGCGGGTCCAAAGGACAGGGACAGTGGTGACGGGTGGTATGGAAGACATGGATGAAGGGCCTGGCTGGGCACGGTGACCCTTGGACGGGAGGGTCCAGAGGAGGCACAGATGCCCCCAGGCAGGCGCCGGGGGCAGAGCAGGTCCCGGGTGGAGAGAGCAAGGTGCCAGGTTGATGGAGCCAGGCGCGGTCACCTCCCGGCTGTCTCTGTAATGTGTTCGCTGACTTCACATTTGCATCCAGGCAAGGGGCTCAGGAAGCACTAGGGTGGTTTTGCTTGCAGAATTACCCACCTGGTTTTCTTCTGCAGGCTTCGTCACAGACGGGAACTCCAAGCTGGTTGGCAGTGCCCACATCCGCCAAGTGAGGATCCGGGGAAGCTCCTGCCCCCTGGCCCCGCAGCTGCAGGCTTCTCTGAGCGGGTGCCGCGCACCGTACTCCCTGGACGAGGAAGACCGGGCTGACTACGGGGAAGACTGGAATGCCTCTGCGCTCGGTAGCAGTGACCGCTTTCCTCCGGCCTGGTGCTACCAGGGCCAGAGCCAGCGTCGAGGGTACCCAACATGGGGCAAGCTCGCTCTGTACCCCGGAGGGGGCTACGCGGTCCCTTTAGGGACTGAGCGCCAAAATGCATCGAGGTGAGGCTGCCTCGCTCCTTTGCAGCAATGTGAGGCCATTTGTTGGGGTCCTCGTGGGGAGGACACAGCCTTGAAAACAGGGCTGGGACAAGTTCCTCCGTGTCCTGTGACACATTCATTCTGAGGCCATTTGAGACAGGAAGCCCTGGGTTTGTCCAAAGACTGTGGGACACAGACCCTTCACAGGACAGAGGTGCCCCAAGCACCCCTCTTTCCCACAGGGTTCTCCGGTATCTCTTTGACCACGCCTGGCTGGACACCCTGACCAGGGCCGTGTTTGTGGAGTTCACCGTCTACAACGCCAACGTCAACCTGTTCTGCGTCATCACGCTCACACTAGAGACCAGCGGCCTGGGTGAGCCCCTCACTCCAAAACCCCTGCCACCCAGGGGGGCCCTATGCGCAGGCCCAGAGATCCAGGTCAAAGAGCTGTTTTGCAGGGGCTGGGGACTTAGCTCAGTGGCAAAGCGCCTGCCTGGCAAGCGCAAGGTCTTGAGTTCGGTTCCCGGTACCGGAGAAAAACCAAAAAAAAAGAGCTATTTTGCTGGGGCAGGTTCTCCCTGCAGCTGGCATCCCTGAGCCCCCAAACCGAGATGTGAGCACTGCCCAGCCTTCCTTTCCAGGGGCTCTGAGTCCCGAGTCTGTGGGCGGCTTATACGTCTCCTTCGCCTGAGTGCCCCACTGTGCTGCAGGTGGGGTAGCGTCTGAGAAGAGGGTGACCTGGTAACAAGTAGCACCACCTAAAAGACAGTTTACAGCCTGCACGTTGATCCACAGTGGAAGTGCATCTCACACACACACACAGCCTTGTAATTTCAGCTATTAGGAGGCCCAGGCAAGAGGATCACAGGTTGGAGGACTGCCTGGACAACAGAACAAGATCATTTCTCAAAACGAAAAAAATATATAGCTCAAGTAAAGCTCAGGAGGGCACTGGCCTAGCATCCAGGAGGCCCTGGGTTCCATCCCCAGGACCACAGGAAATGAACGAGTGGCTAAAGTGCTAACCACAAGCTACTAAAAACCATCAACTTATGGCCTGTTTAGCTAATGCTCAACTTTCTAAAACTGAACATCCTTGCAGTAAACCCTGAACTTTGTTTTATGTTTTTGCAACAGGGTCTCGCTATGTGGTGCAGGCTGGCCTTGAGCACACTCTGTAGCTCAGGCTGGCCTTAAATTTCTGGTGCTCCCCCTGCCTCAGTCTCCCAAGTGCTGGGATTATAGGTGTGTGCCACCATGCCCAGCTAAAACCTGAACATTTAAAAAGTATGTAATTACATTTTAATTATAAAGTGAATGTATGTTTGTGCATTAAAAAAAAAGTCAAGGGCCGGGGATATAGCTCATAGTGCCTGCCTGGCAAGTGCAAGGTCCTGAGTTCGATTCCTAGGACCAAAAACAACAACAAAAAAATTAACAATTAAAAAAGAAATCAAGCTAAAAAATGTCATTAGTACATGCAAGGTTTGGTCCCCAAGACCATAATAAATAAATAAAATTTGGAATGGTGAATGGCTTTCATCTCCTACAATCCTTTGTCAAGGTCAACAGCGTCTTTCAAATCTTTCTTTAGTTTATTTCTACATCTTTTGATCTCCTATGCCTCTTTGCCACCATTTTGGGTATTTCCCTTTTCCTTCCTTCCTTCCTTCCTTCCTTCCTTCCTTTCTTTCTTTCTTTCCTTCTTTCTTCCTTTCTTTCTCTTTCTTTCTCTCTTTCTTTCCCTCTTTGTGGTTTTTCTGAGATAGGGTCTTGCTATGTATTCCAAGCTGGCTTTGAACTCACTATGTAGCCCAGGCTGGCCTCGTACTCATAGCAAGCCTCCTGCTTCAGCCTCCCCAGTGCTGGGATCATGGATGTGTACAACCATGCCCAGCTTCCTTCTGGCTTTTCAAGGAAGAAGTTTTTAAATAACTTGTCCAAAACCACATCTGATTGAATTGTGTTTCTACACAGAAGAGGTCCAGAACGGGCTCCTGGCCGTGTGGATTCCGCAATCACGACATTGTCAGGGACTTGGGTGGCTTCCCTCATGTCCTGCAGTCACCTTAGGGCTGGCTTTGTCTTTAAGCCTTATTGTCAGAATGATTTCAAACATTATCACCCCAAAATCATTACAATTCCAGGAAATAAGGAAACAAATGAAAAGGTATTCTAGAGAAGGCTGGATGGTTAGGCATATTGGCGGTGAGATGAACTGACTTCCGGTGAAGTCCTTTTTAAAATTTGTTTTCTTAGTGCACTTTGACAGCACATAAGAGCCATAACCATGGGGCGGGGGGCGCTCCAGGGCACTGCACACCGTGCGGCCCCAGTCCTCCACCTGTGTCCCTTCCGGGTGACACTGCTTTTGTGTCCACCGTGTGTCCACCTTCAGGCTCTGGAGTCTTTGTATCTGAGGACCCTGGTCCTCTCCTGCCCCCGCCCCCTGCAGCCCTCAGGAGGGCTCCAGCTTGAAGGTCACAGCCAGGGCGCCCAACATGAGGAGACCTGGGTGACCGGCTGCACTCTGCTCCCCAGGAACCTTCTTCACCCACGCAGCCCTGCACAGCCTCCGCCTGTCCCCCCTCACCGACGGCTGGCACCCCTTCGTAGTGGCGGCAGAGCTCCTGTACTTCGCCTTTCTCCTCTACTACATGGTGGTACAGGTGGGCACGTGGGCCGGGCTGGGTGCCCCTTGCTCTCCCTCCGGCTTCCGGTGCGGCTGAAGGAGGAGGGGAAGGGCTCTGCCTGAGGAATTTGGTCCTGAGGGCTGACAGACCTCAGAGCTGCAAGGCCTGAAAGGCTGGTTCTGCTCGCACCCCCACCCTGGAGGGCCCTGAGGGCTGGGGGAAGGAGCGCTTGTGCTGTGGCCGCTGAACTGAGACCTCCCCAAACGCTGGGGCGTCGAGATGGCACCTGGCTCCCACACCCTTTTGAAAAGGCGAGTGGTATTTCTGGTGCTTCCAGCATGGCCGGCGCTGTGCTGAGGACCTTATGTGGGTTTCCTACTTTTAAAACAGCAGGAGAGCCTGGCAAGCGCAAGGTCGTGAGTTCGGTTCCCGGTACCGGAGAAAAACCAAGAAAAACCAAAAAAAATAAAACAGCAGGAGAAAGCTGGGTGTGGTGTGCATGCCTATAATCCCAGCACTGGGGAGGCTGGGGCAGGAGGATCGCTGCAAGATGGAGGCCAGCCTGGGATACATAGCCCTCCCAGCGGGAGAGGAGCCTCCACTGTGTGTGTAGGGGGTGTTCTGCTGGCCACAGACCTGGGCAGAACCTCGGCTCTCTCCTTCCCAGGGCCAGCGTGTGCGGAAGCAGAAGTGGGGCTATTTCCGCAGCAAGTGGAACCTGCTGGAAGTGGCCATCATCCTGGCCAGCTGGAGTGCCCTGGTGGTGTTCGTGAAGAGGGCTGTCCTGGCTGAGCGGGACCTCCAGCTCTACCGGAAGCACAAGGCAGAGTAAGCAGCCATGTGCCCAGACCCCTGGACCTCCGCTGGGCCCGTCCTCAGTTCTGTCTGAGGCCCAAGGTCAGCAGGAAGCTCTGGTAATCTTGCTGAGCCTTGTAGTTCAGGTTGGCCTTAAACTCACTGTGTAGGCCAGGCCGGCCTCAGATTAGCAGTGATCCTCTTGCCTCAGCCTCCCAAGTGCTGGGACTACACGTGTGCACCACCACACCTGGTTTAAATGTCATTTTGAAATAGGGACGTGCTTGTCTTGCCTTCCAGAATAAAGCTCATTGCTCTTAGGGAAGACTACAAAATTTAGAGACACAGTAATAGAAAATTTATAACATCCTGCATTGAATTAAGAAGTTACTATCGGGGCTGGGGATTTAGCTCAGCGGCACAGTGCCTGCCTGGCAAGCGCAAGGTCGTGAGTTTGATTCCTGGTACCGGAAAAAAAAACAAACAAGAAAAACAAAACAAAGAAGTTACTACTGAGGGCCCGGAACAGAAAAATGAGACTGACAACCAAGAGCAAAATTTGTCAGTAGAAACCTAACAGAGATGAAGAAGTCAGCCGATCGGGATGCTAAAGGACCCATTATACCATGTTCAAGTGCTTAAAGGAAAATAGAAACCTAACGAGATATGGAAGATTTTTTTTAAAACATGGACGTGACATCTAAAAAATATGTACTGCATAGCCTAACAGATTAGACAATATAGAGGTTGAGGATAAACCACTTGAAAATATAGTAATAGAAAATTCCCCAAATAAAGTGTTATGGTTTATAACTAAAAAATAAAATAAAATAGCATCTTGGTAAGTTGCACAGGCTGGCCTTGAACTTGTGATCCTCCTGGCTCGGCCTCCTAAGTAGCTAGGATTACAGACATCTACCACTGCGTTTGGTCTGGAGAAGACCTGAAAACAAAATATAACAATATCTAATATTTGCAGCCAGGCGCAGTGGTGCAGTCTTGTAATTCCAGCACTACCGGAGGCTGAGGATCGCCATGAATTCGAGGCCAGCCTGGGCTATAGTGAGTTCAAGGCCAGCCTGACCTGCATAGTGAGACCTTGTCTCAAAAAACAGAAAAAACAGTATCTGATGTTTGCAAATGCAGGGCCATGTGGCACCCTGCTTAGGTCCTCCCAGCCTTGGGGAGAGCTTTCACAAGCATTAGTGCTCAGTAAATCTCCCTCTGCTACCATGTGTCAAGTGTCCCCTAGGTGCTAGGCAGAGTGGGCTAGCACATGGCAGACACTGTCTTCAGTGTTCATGGGACCTGATGGAGGTCAGCCAATGAGGTGGTGCCTGTCTGTAATCCTAGCTACTTGGGAGACTGAGGCAGGAGGATTGCAAGTTGGCAGCCAGCTAGGCGACTTAGCAAGGTCTTGCCTCAAAATAAAAAATGGAAAGAGCTTGGAATGTAGCTTGGTGGCAGAGCGCTTGCTTAGCATGTGTACAGCCCTGGGCTCAATCTTCAGAACTACAGAGGAAAAAAAGTCAAGTATGATGGTGCATGCCTATAGTCTCAGTGCTCAGGAGGCTGAGGCAGGAGGATTGCAAATTGGAGTCTAGCCTGGGAAACTTAGTAAGATCTGTCTCAAAATTTTAAAAAGGCTCAGATACAACTCAGTGCAAAGGCCCTGGCTTAATCCTCCAAGCCAGAAAGAAAAGCAAAACTAATGAAGGTAGATGTCATCGCTGCCCCATTTCTACCAAAGAAATTGAGGCTCAGGAATTTCATAAGACTTCTCCAAAACCACACAGCTAAATGTGGCAGAGAAGTAATTTAAATCTTTTTGTTTGTTTGTTTTCTTCTGGTACGAGGAATCAAACTCATGACCTTGCGCTTGCCAGGCAGGTGCTGTGCTTCTGAGCTAAATCCCCAGCCCTGTAATGTAACTCTAAACTGTGACTGGCCATGGAGGCGCACGCCTGTAATCCCAGCACTCCAGAGGCTGAGGCGGGAGGATCACCCTGAGTTCAAGGCCAGCCTGAGCTACATAAGCGAGTGCAAGGCCAGCCTGAATTGCATACTGAGCCCCTGTCTCAAACAAAACAAAACAAAAATAAATAAATAAATAAATAAAATAAATCTAGACTGTGTAGCTCGAGGATCTATGCCTCACTTTGATCACTGTGTTCCTCTCTCACCTTTTATAGCGATATCATATACTTACTGAGTTACTACTCGAGGTAATACACTGCCGTCCATCCAGTGGGAATTAAACCCAGGCCCTCACGCATGCTAGGCAAGTGCTGTACCACTGCGGTGTATTCCTAGTCCCAAACACCACTTTAAGAGCACATTCTCATCTACTTCAGTCTTCCCGAGATGGCCAAGCAGTGATGCCATCATCTTTTCTCTCTTTCTCTCTTTCTCTCTTTCTCTTTCTCTCTTTCTTTTTCTGAAGGAGGAAATCATTGGTTAAATTCCTTGTGCAAGGCCACAGCAAGGAAATGCAGAATCTGAACTCTTTCTGCTCCACGCAAACACTGGCTCATTCATGCAACAAACCATCCAATGTTGCCATCCTAAACGTGCGACAAAAACTCTCCCCTCTCCATGCGGCCCCTTTTCGATAGAAATGTCTCAGTATCACTAGCCTTCTTTGAGTTCACAAATAATGGAAGCTTGCCGGGTGGGTGGTGCACGTCTGTCGTCCCAGCACTCAGGAGCCTGAGGCAGGAGGATGATCACAAGTTCGAGACCAGCCTGGGCTAGATAGTGAGACTCCATCTAAAAAAGAAAACAAACAAAAAAGAAATGACTCAAGCTCGTTGTGAACTTAGGCAAAGCGATTATCCCAAAACCCTAAAGGTACTTCAGCCCCACACGGGGTCAGCAAAGGGAGAAGAGCGGTGTGGGCATGCCCGACCCTCACTGCTTTTGTGAAGAAAGTGTTACTGCAACCCTGCCGCACGCAGCGCTCTGCTCACACGCTGTCCTCGGCTGTCTTCCCTCTGCAACGACAGTGTTGAGTCACTGCGATGAAAACTCTCTGGCCCTTTCTAGTAGTCTGTTGATCCTGCCCGGTGACCAAAGGCTGAGTTCTAGGACACAACTGTGGTGAGTCTGTGGGAGGGGCTCACGGGCCGTGTAGTTGGGGTCATCCCTACCCTGACACCGGCCATGTTACTGAGGTTCTGGGGCAAAACCCCAGCTCCGGGGATCCCAGCGACCGGGCCTGACCACCCAGCACATCCCAGAGTCAGTCAAGGACCCGAGCAGTGGGGAAGCATGGGAGAGCAGCGTTAGTCAGCGTGGTTGCGCTGGGATGCACAGAGAAAGAGGTTTAAGAGCTGTCTTCCAGGGGCTGGCACAGCTCCGGGGTTTTATAGAAAAAGGAAATGAAGGCAAAGATGGGGAGTTCGCACAGCCGGCAGCATACGTGTCCTGCTCCTGGTCGTGAAGTCTGGGTGATCGCTACCTTAGGACTGGTTCTTCAGGTCCGGAAGAGCAGTCTCACTGAGGGGGCATCCTAGTCCCATCACGGGGAAGCTGATCCCCGAGCATGGGGTCTGCTTTTCCTGGAGCCCGGGTGATCGCAGGTTGGGGACAATGATTTGAGGCTTCTAGACATTGTATCAGAGTCTGGGCCCTGACCCAGGACGTTGTAAAAGCTGGCAAAGTGATATCCTTGCCAACCCTGAAAATGATTTTACTCTTACCTGGGTGTTCTCAGTCTTAAAGTGGATATAATAGGCTCGCTAAATTGAAGGGTAGAAACCTGTAAAGGGCCAGGCCCAGCACTTTGTTTGTTTGTTTGTCTTTCTGAGACAGGGTCTCACTATGTAGTTCAGGCTGGCCTCGAGCTCACTTTGTAGCCCAGGCTGGTCTCGAACTCACAATGATCCTCCTGCCTCAGCTTCCTGAGTGCTGGGATTACAGGCGAGCGCCACCACGCCCAGCAGGCCCAGCACTTGGGAGGCTGAAGCAGGAGGATCACCGTGAGGTCAAGGCCAGCCTGGGCTACATAGCAAGATCATGTCTCAAAAAAGCAAAAAACAAAACCAAAATGAACCTGCAACTCACACACTCCTTCAGTGATCAACATGCCTGTGCAGAGCCGAGCAGGGCCAGGCTCCATCCTGCGTTTAGTCACCCATCAGGCCTCTGCAGGCCCAGCCTCGGAGTCCTTGTTCCAGCCATGCTTTATGTTTGTTTGCCCCACAGAAATGCGGCTACTTTTTTTTTTTTTTGGTACTGGGAATCAAACTCAGGACCTTGTGTTTGCCAGGCAGGTGCTTTGCCGCTGAGCTAAATCCCCAGCCCCTCTCTTTCTCTCTTTCTCTCTTTCTTTTTCTGAAGGAGGAAATCATTGGTTAAATTCCTTGTGCAAGGCCACAGCAAGGAAATGCAGATTCTGAACTCTTTCTGCTGCATGCAAACACTGGCTCATTCATGCAACAAACCATCCAATACTGGTCATGTTTGATTCTTGATATCCACACAGACTGGTTTTTTTTAATTTACATGGGTCATGAAACAAGTTTACACCAGAGAATTCTCATTTTATAACCAAATGTAATGAGTTCATATCTTGATAAGTACACAAGCCAGTGATAAAAGAGTAGAGAAAGATTTATTACCTGCAGTAGGCAGGAGAGCACTGGGGTTACCTGCAAAACAATGCTCTCCCTGAACAAAGGAAGGTGGGGGTTTTAGGCAGCGAGTGCATCCGTATTCATACAGGAAAGCACGGGCGCGTTTCTGAGCATGCTCAGTTTAACTTCACACATCACATGTTCAGAAACAAACGAGGGCAGACACACTTCCGGGCACGCTTAGTTCACATTACAATGAGCCTGGTTTTCTCTAGGTTGCTTAAGGCAACCAGACTTGGTGAGCCTGTCTGGATCCTCCCAAGTTTTCCCAGAGTGTTAGCTGAAACAAAGAGGAAGAACAATGTTGGAGTTGCATTAATCATCTTCTAAAGAGGCGGCAGCTTTCTCTACCATACATGTAGCTCCGGCTAAAGTTGCCACCTTGCTTAATGGCTAACACTTTTACACTGAAAACAGAAAACAAAAGAGATCTTGCCAGCTTTAACAAAAACCTGCATATAGTTTGAGTTCCTT